TCCTTTAACTAATAATGTACAATGACGAGTTAGTCGCTTTGTGAAAGTCTGTAAAATATTTAGGTATTTCTCAATATCTCAATAATGACACACCATTGCGGCATGATTGCGGGTTAAAAATATATATATATATATATACAGTATATTGTAATAATTTATATATTTAATAAAACTTAATTTAAAATCTTTTTTTTTAATAATATTGATAATAATAATAATTTTTTAATTTAGAAGATTAAAATTAAAAATAATTACATAAAACTTTTAAATTGATATAATATTTCGATTAAAGATTTTATTGTAATAATAAATTCATAATAAATAAGTTATATAAAAAATTATAGTTTAATATTTAATATATAGTTATAGATTTAAGTTAATAAATTGTTATAATAATATAATAAATCAAATAAAACATATTAATTCTCGTTAATAAGGTCTTGCGTTTAATATCCATTTCCTGCTTTTAAAAAAAAATTATATTTTTGATTTTTTTCGTTAATACAATTATTTAATTATTGTAATAAAAAATCAAATAGTAAATATGGGTAATTACTTTTGAAGGCAACAAAAATGCTAGATATGATTTTTTGGGCCCTACTTTTAAACAATACACGCATAATGTAAACTTTAGAATCACCAGAAAATTTCCAGTCCACCTTCAAAAATAGTTACCCATATATAAAATTATTAAGTATTAAATTAACATTTTTTTAAAAAAAATAGGTACGCTACAGTTTAAAATAAAATCTTATTAATGTTTTTTAAATTTCCGATATCTTAAATATAATATTTTAATTTTTTTATTTTTACGATATTAAAATAATGTATTTGGTTTTCTATATTTTTAAATAATTGCCGTTTCAAAAAATTTAAATTCACTACATATGTTATATATAACTTTAAATTGTTGACTTTTTTAAAATCAATGATTTTCAAAAGATAAGTTGCAATCACGTGCCAAATAATCAACATTTTTAGTTACTCGAATTATGACAAAAAATCTAAAAATTGTGCATTACAATTAATTCAGTTGCTTCTGTGCATAAAGTTCGAACCTAACCTAATTAGTGACGTTTGAATTTCTCCGAGTTAACGTGCCCTTAAAGTTGCAGTTCAATAGACATGGTAAATTGCTCGTGTTTCGTTAGACGAATTATTTAGTTCATTAGTTATTGGAACGTGGATAATTAAAATTAAAAAGCAGGAACTTTATTGATTAATAAAATCCAATATATTACATTACGAGAAATCAGTTACTCGAGTGAGAAAAAAGGAGGACTCACCGCTACTTAGGAAGCGGAAAAAAATAAATATAAAAGAGTCATCGAGGACGAATCTAGCTAGGCGTCTAGAACAAGGCAGATAATGCCGACTTTGCCAAACAAAAAAATAAAATAAAAAAGATATATATACATATACTGTATATATATATGCGCCGATATTTGTGCGGGAACAAAACAGACTCGTTCCTTGTCATTATGAATTAGAAGAGAACCTTGGTAGATTTGTTATGAACTGCGTGTATCTTCGCTACCGTTTTTGTCCTGCGAATACCCCATTTTAATTTCTAACCTGGCAAGTTCCTTTTGCGTTTCTTCAAGGCCAGTTAACAACTCGAAGTAATTTGTTTTCCTTCTTAAATACTCTTTGGACTTATTCTTTTCCCTCTCGGCAAAATGACTTTTTGACTTGACTAATTCCGACGTGGCTTCCAAGAAAGTGTCCAGGTTATCCTCTATTTTCCTTCTTTTGCCGGCTCTGAGAAGAATCTTGAGGCCCATTCCATTTATATAGTCAACCTTTTTTCTTTCTAAATCTTTCTTTTTTTCCATAATTTGTTTAGTAATACTTTGGTAAGTCTCAAGCCTAGTGTTTAGCGTCTTTCTCTCAACTTGTAATTGATCTATTTCTTCTTTTTTTTCTGCCAAGTCGAATTTTAATTCTCTTATTTCTGTTTCTAGTTTCTCTTTATCGCAATCTTTTGCTTTTAGCATAAGTTCTTTTATCTTTATATCATCCTGAGCTTTATTGAATTCTTCTTTTAATTGATTAATTCTTTCTTCTTTGTCGTTGATCCTTTCTTTTAGCAGGTCTTCTATCAGTTTTAAACTATTCTGAGCGCTATCGGCTTCTTTGCTTAATTGCTTAATTTGTTCTTCTTTTTCTTTAACCTTTCCCAACTCCTCGAGGTATCGATTTAGTTCTTTTTCAGCTTCCTCATTTCTTTCTATCAACTCTTTTTCTCTTGCTTTAAACCTTTCCAACTCCTCGAGGTATTGATTTCGCTCTTTTTCAGCTTCCTTGTTTCTTTCTATCAACTCTTTTTCTCTTGCTTTAAACTTTTCCAACTCCTCGCGGTATCGATTTAGCTCTTTTTCAGCTTCCTTGTTTCTTCCTATTAACTCTTTTTCTTTTTCTTTATAATTAATTTCAGTTTCTTCCAGATTTATGATTTGATGGCGAAGAGCGTAATTGACGTCTTTCAACTTTTCTAAGTCGGATTTTTGCCTATTAAATCTTTCTTCTATGTATCTATGTTCGTTTTTCAAGTTAGAGATCATTTTTTCTTTCTCACTCAATTCCTCCATCATTTCTTTTTCTCGCTGTTCATTATCATTCTTCAATCTGGAAATCGTTTCTTCTTTTTCACACAATTCTTCCATCATTTTTTTTCCTTCTAGGCATTTGTGGTCATTTTTCATTCTAGAAATTGTTTCTTCCTTTTCACGCAATTCTTCTATCATTTCTTTTTCTCGGCGTTCATAATCATTTTTCAATCTGATGAGCATTTCGTCTTTTTCACACAATTCACCAGTCATCCCTTTTTCTCGGTATTCATAATCATTTTTTAACCTGGCGATCATTTCTTCTTTTTCACGCAGTTCATCCATTATTTCTTTTTCTCGGTATTCATGTTCATTTTTCAATCTAGCAATTATTTCTTCTTCTTCACGCAATTCTTCCATCATTTCTTTAATTATTTTTGTGAGATGACGATTTCTAGATTTATTGTCAATTTTTGGTGGGTTATTTACAGAATTTACCGGAGCATTCCCTTTAATATTTTGCCTCAAAAGAAGATATTTTGATAATAAATCGTCCAGCTCTTTCGTGGTTTCTTCATTATCTTTTTTAATCCTAAAGCCAATTAATGAACGTAATTCCGACAACTGTTCAAGAAACGGAAGCGAATCTCCGCCGTTTTTGGCCATGGTACGCAGAAGTTTCACCTTAAAATTTCGACAATTTCGACAATTTGGGCAAAGCTATTGTGCGTGTTTCATTAAGATTGATGAGCGAGATGATTGATGAATTACCGAGACTAAAGCTTTGGGTGCGAATTGAGTCAAACAATTTATTCCACCTTCAAAAGAAGATTTACAATCGTTTTATTAGCAGTTTTGTTTTGGCTTGCCAATTTCCTATTTTGGAAGATCCCGTATATTTTTCTTGGAGCGGATCTCCAAACTTAAACGTTACATTGGAAACTTTAGAAACAATAGCGGGGTTACACACGTTGAGATGTAGCTGATAATCGGAGACTTGTATTAGCATAGAGTTTTAATAAAAATTTTTTATGGTTGGCAAAATAGTTTATATTCTATTTATAGGATTTTCTTTTTTCTCGCTTTTTTCTGAACCTTCGTTTTCTTTTTAGTTGCCTTTTTTTTTCCTTGTTATCTTAAAAATTTGTATCGTCATCTCATTTGAACGTCCAATTCATGCAATTTGTGATAGATGTCTGATGGCAATACACTAAAAAAAAAAAAAAACAATAATAATAAAATAAATAAATATATATGTTTAACGGGAGACAGTTCAATTATTAATTCCGAGAGTTCTAAAACCTACCTATATTTCAAATACCCGGCAAATGTCACGAGCGCTTTAGCCTTTCGTTGAAGAGCGGCCGACTCCTAAAAAAACATAAAGACGAACAACTGTCGGACAAATAATCCTTTGACGTTGGAAAGAAATGTGTTTTATGCAAACTTACTTCTATATGCCTCCGATTTAGACCCGGCGTCCCCCTCGTCATTTGGTCCTTTAATTGTTGATAATATGCATGTATACAGCGCATGGTAATGTGCAAAAGTTCCGGAACACAGTTTTTCATTTGATCGTCCGAGGCTTCGATGGCGCTGGCCTTTTTCTGAATGATGTTGATATCATCCTCGAATGGGAAGAGCTCGATTTGTTGAATTAACTATTACGATTGAAGTATTTCCAGAACCTAAGAAATCAAATTACAACATAGAACGCTTTCAAACAAAAACTGATTTACTCACAGACACCGCCCTCGCAAAATTCTGCTGCTTATGCATCTCGACAAATTCCACCAGGCCCAGACGAGTACGACAATCCCTTAGGAGATCTTGAGATATTCTCATTGTCACATGATGTTGCTCATAATCTTTTAGGGTACGTGTTATCTCCTTTGGGTCCAACTCTTTGGCCGTTTCCGGTTGGAAGGTCACCCCGCGTATTGAAATCCAAATGTATTCTGCGAGCATTTTGTTAAATAATGCAACGATTTCTTCATAATTCTGAACGTTTTAATAAAAGAAATGATAATATTCAAAATGTCATAAATTTAGACCTTAGCTGCGCGAAGATATAAGGCGATTCATAAAAATGATATGATTACCTCGGTCAATTCATATAGATTTCTCGCTGATTTGAATTTACCATCCTCGACACACTGTCTTGCAAGAGTATTGACAACGATCCCCGTATACTCCTTATCGCTCTCTATATACATCAAAGACATGTATTTTCTTATCAGTCCCTTTAAAGTTGCAAGATGCATGTTAGAAATCTGATGAGATCAAATGAATTGGTGGGTATGATGTGCAATATCAACCTCCTTTCTTCTGGCGTCGCCCACCAAATCGGTGAATGCTTCTGTATCGTACACGAGTTGTCGAACGTTTTCGTGACACAATTCAACCTGAAAGTAACCGGACTCGGTACGTGGGTTGCAATGAAGGTACAATAAAAGAAGGTAATGTAATGCGGTGCTGGGTGCATTTTCTTTGACCAACGAACGAGCATATTGAACGATGAGCGTGTTGAAATTGAGATATGGAACCGCGACTTCGACAACTAAATTCAACAAGCGATGTGCGTGAGGTGACTAGAGAGCATTTATAATGAATCTTTGATATTGCACATAAAGGTGCATACGTAGTGCCATGGTTTCTCCGTAATCTGGTATCCTGAGCAATCCATAGTATGCAAGTGCGACGGCAAAATGAACCGCATCCTCGGTATGATCCGTTTGATATAGATAATGGACTGCCTATAATAATGGAATGCAGTCACATTAGGCCATTATCCCTTCCTATGGGTATACATGCGATGAGCCTGAATAATATGATTTAATTTACCCTCTCAAATTGAGCGGTTAGCAACAGAGCGCGAAAGTATTGTATGGGGTCCTTTCCGCCGTGATTGAAATGATTAGGACCCAAGTTTCGAATTGTTTTTTGCAAACCTTCCAACGACAAAGTGTCACTCGAAATGCCACCAACTGATTCGATCTCTCGAATGCACATCAACTACAAAAGAATTTTCATTATCAGATTTCGCTGAGATAAAGCGAATGAACTGTCTCAGCTCTCCTACCTTCATCCACATAAAATCTTCCGAAGTAGGAATGACACTTTCAATTTGAGGTTTTTGCGGTAATTCTTCAAGCTGCGCGACGATCTGATACATTATGAATTTGTATGGATCTTTATCTTGAAAAGTTAAGGGATTCCACTGCTTCATTTCCGCAACCAATTTTTGTCGATCTTGTGAAGGAAGACTGAATTGAAAAGAATAGGTTACCTTCTTAATTAGTTTTTTTTTTTTAAAAAAAAAGAAAAATAAGAAAACACACATTCAATTAAATCGCGACAAAACCTATTGTTGTTGGAGACAAAACGCGAGAAATATGTAATGAATTGTGAATCTTGTCTAGGCAATAGAGGTTCATAACCCCTTGCAACCTCCAAAGCTTCTTGATAAAAGCCTTGTCTCACGAGAACGAAGATGTGGCCCCATATCGGAACACTATCTGTCATCTACAAGAAGACCAATAAATACGGCAGCGAGAGAGAAATTTGATGAATCAATTGATCACACATACATGCAAATTATCGGTTGGAATTCCTCCGTTAGGTCGATGGATTGCGCGTAGGACGGCACGCGCCATGTTGATGGCGGATGGCATTCCGCCCAACATAGCTTCACTTCGGAAAGAATTCACATAGATATTTGACCATGATCGATAACTGGATGCGAATTAACGTAAAGTGTGAACCAGATATGTAAATAATTTCGGGTAATCAGCAGTAGCTAATGATCAGAATGAATTTTTTACATACGATTCCTCCAGGTAACGCCTTGAGCCATTTATGAGGTATCTGCAAAAGCTTTTATAATCTGCGTCAGAGGGCGAGTTGTATACTGTCTTAAAGTGTCCTTGTTTCAATGGATTTCGCGTAAAACGTCCGTCAACGACATTATCTTCTCCAACGATACACGCAAGTGCCTGCCAACACTGCACCAATTTCTTTCCCTAATGCGAGAAGAAGTTGAAAATCAGAATGTTTTACTCTAGTGAACAAGCGAATAGACGTAAAGTGGTCATTCGTTTTCCTACATAATCCAAATTGATTTTCTTTGCAGCGCTAATGAATTCATTTATAACACCGTACTCAATTTTGGCTAATCTCGAATTGTTCAGTTTAACTATGACATCAAAATAGACCAAATGTCGCTGATTTAGTTGCAAGGTAGAGTCACTTCTGAACGACACGCGCCCTTCTCCTGCGGTGACATACGATGGCCTCTTGTGACATTCAAATATTAAAAATTATTGTTGTTGCAATATATACAGAAAAAAAAAAAAAAAAATGAATCAGTGCGAACCATTGTCGATCGAAAATCGCTGCTACTCGGTAAGGACGTGCTCGATGAAAATCTCGACTGCGTCATACTACGACTATTGCCAACACCGATGGATGATTCTAGACTGCCGACGGAACTCACTGGCACGTGTTGACCCAGTTCTTCAAACACCTTTCTCTTGAATTTGTCCCAGTCTTGATGCAAACATCGATCAAAATGGGAGTTATAATCATTGATGGTCTAAATTCAACGCGAATTAATTGACAGGCGCACTACATTAGATACAAGCGAAAAAAAAATAAAAAATTTTTTAATATCCCGATAATGCTAAAAGTACCTGCGCATAGCCATCTTTGATGATACTTGTGATCGTTTGTTGATGTTTGTGATCGAGATATTTCTATTATTCCAAGACAGGGTGGACATAGAATTATCGTTTAATGGAGAAAAGATTCCTCATCAGCTCGGTAATAGAAAAAATTGTAACAAGGCTTGCGAATAGCTATACCTCGACGTCCGTATCCGGCAGGACAACTCGCGGTTCAAAGGCACCTAAAACATTGATGCTCTTCACCTCTTGTGTTAATTTATCTCCGTCAATTCCAATGTTCGCTAGGAAATAAGGACTAGAAGTGTATTGACAAAGAAAATTACGAAAGTGTAAAATTGAGTAGCTGGTAGTAAGCAATTCTAAAAAAAAAAAAATGAAAATGAAAATGAAAGAAATGAAATACGGAAAACAGCTTCATATACGTTCAGACATTTTTTCGGAGAAAACAAAAAAAAAATAAATAATAATAATAATAGAAATAATAATAGTGATGTAATTCTCTGACTAAATATGTACCTTTAAGCGATCGCAAAAGTTACATATATAGAAACAAAGTCTTTAACACATACGCTTTTCTTTCGGGGGTTTCTCCGGGCTTTACAACTTTGTCAGCAAGTTTACGCGACTGCTTCTCTATTTGTTCCAAATTTCGTTCAATGGGAGGTAAATCGCGATTGAGAATCGCATTTGCGACATTTCTCGATCTTTCAGCAAGCTGTTTCAGTTGTATGTTGGCCGCCATTCTTTTTTGTCACCATGAAAACAATGTAGCATGCTATAACGGCCACCGCACATGCAATTAATCACGTGACACATAAATCTATAAGTAACCTCAGGATTTCTTATTGTGCGTCCCGATCATGACTTCCGTCAAAAAGCTTTTGACCGACTTGCACGTCAAGTATATTCAATCTCTTGACACGGTACAATCAATTATTTGATGTACGCACCCAACAGAAACCGAAAAACATGTTAATAAGTGTCACGCGTTCTTTATTTTTTTTTTTCCTTCGTAGAAAAAAGATGACTTGGAATATTGGCTCACCGAACACCTTCGCCTTAGCGGTGTCTATTGGGGCTTGACGGCCTTGGACTTGATGAAAAATCTCGACGCCCTTCATAGAGAGGAGGTGGTGAAGTATGTGATCTCTTGTCAACACGATAATGGTAGTCTCTTAAAATCCAACAACCAGTGCTCTTTATTTGGTGCACAATGCTGCGAGAACTAAATCGACGAATAAAAAAATTCGGCATGTTTTTTAGGCGGTTTCGGTGGTCACGTTGGTCACGATCCGCATTTGACGCATACGCTTTACGCAGTACAAATTTTGGCGATTGAAGATGCATTGGATGCGGTTAATGCCGAAAAAATCGTGGAATGTAAGCAGGATGAATCATTTTGGCTGACGTAAGGGGATCAAATCACAAATTAGCGTAGCATTCCGCAGTTTCAAACAATTAATCACGCGAGAATCGGGTTTGCTAGTTGCGCACGAAATCTCATGGAATTCCATGGAGCCTTCGTGTGATACCATACAATTCCAACGCAAATGAGATATACTGATGTGATCCAACTTTGCATTAGATGTTGCGTCTCGTCAAGATCGCCAATCGGGCGCTTTCACGGGCGATGAATGGGGAGAGATCGATACACGATTTTCTTACTGTGCACTTTCGTGTCTTTCCTTACTAAAGCGTTTAGATGCTGTGGATGTTGACAAAGCAGTTGAATTTATCATGCTCTGCAAAAATTTCGATGGCGGATTTGGTAGCACCCCTGGGGCCGAATCTCATGCCGGGCAAAGTGAGTGTGAAATCGAGAAACATTGTGCATTGATCTCGTCTAATTAATCGAGTTTAACATTTATTTTGTTCTATGAAGTCTTTTGCTGTGTCGGTGCGCTTGCCATTGTCAATTCTCTGCATTTGGTTGATGCAGATTTGCTCGGCTGGTGGCTTTGTGAGCGGCAATTGAAAAGTGGCGGATTAAATGGTCGGCCGGAAAAACTTGAAGATGTGGGTCGGGTTGTAATATGATGCTTTCTTGTGCAGCTAATCTTTTAGCATTGAAGAGTACGTTAATGATAATATAGGTGTGTTATTCGTGGTGGGTATTATCCGCATTAAGCATACTGGGCAAGCTCCATTGGATAAATAAGGAAAAGTTAATTGAGTTCGTTTTATCATCTCAGGTATGTGTGCTAATATTATCCCTTTCATTTTTGACCAGGCAGTTTATTTAATTGCACGTATCACTCAAGGATCCTGAGTCCGGAGGAATTGCCGACCGACCCGGCGATATGGCTGACGTGTTTCATACTCTTTTCGGAATTGCAGGCAAGTTTCGTTGGCTTAAAAAGTTCCGAATTGTGTTTGTCATTCGACACGTTTGATAATTCCTTGCATCCTGTTACATAAAGGTCTATCATTATTAGGGTATCCTGACTTGAAGTTGGTTGATCCAGTTTACTGTCTGCCAAAATATGTCGTTCAAAGAATTGGCCTGGCGGAAAGATACCACATCTGAACCTTTTGAGAATAGCGATCTCCTTTATAACACGCTATTACGAAAAAAAAAAAAAAAAAAACGTCGAACTGTATGAAAAGAACAAAGAAAGAATAACTAAATTTTTGGGATACAGTGTAAACTCATTAGGATGTCAGATTAGGTACATGAAGTTTCATAAAGATTTTATTTTATTTTTTTTTTGATGCAAGGACAAGTTATCAATTAAGTTGATGAATATTTCTTGTTCGTTCTCTCTAATACGGATATATCTACCCTACATCTTTGTCAATGAGGGTCAAACGATACTAATTAATATACAACATGAATATTTTATTTATTGCTTTCGAATGCAAACGGGCTGACTTGTTTTTGTTTGGTAGTGAATAACTGAGTCCTGGAAGGAAAATCACGTCCCCAAAAATGTCCTCACGTATAAATCACGTAGGTGTTAAATAAAATAGGGCACACTTGTACGTTAGCCTTACGAGTTCGTGTCGACTGTCGATAGCAGTAGTCTAAAAGAAAATTTGCCGAATGTCCGTCTTGCTAAATTGTTGACCGCAATTTGCACATTTGCGATTGCGACCTTCCAACTGACGTTCTAAACAAGTCTTACAGAACGTATGCATACAAAGAGTTAAGCAATGATCTTTAAATCTGGTATTGCAGGTTGAGCATTTCCATTTCGTCTAAATTAATATACACGTGTTTGATAAGTAATGGTCGAACGAGATGGCAATACAAATAGCTTGAATAAACATTCATACCTCATATGCTTCTAAGAGTCTTGAGGTGTCCGTAGGGACATTGGATGATTGGGTCTTTTTCAGCTCTTCGATTTGCTTGGTTTTTCCATCCAGCTGCTCTTTCACGTGTCTGGTCTCTTTGAACATCGCCTTTAATTCTTCACCGCGCTTCCGTATCTCACCCGAGAAATCTCTGGCTCTGTTTGTTCTCTGTTAAGGAAAAAGAGGATGATTGGAATGGCCTCATGAAAATTTAAAGCGCAATCCAACAAGATAGGATATCTTACATCAATGCGCAGGTTTTCGGAAGCCGCCTTTTCCCTTTTGAGCTCGAGTTCATAGTCCTGAAGTTTCTGTTTATATATGGCCAACGCCTGAATGGCATTGTCCGCCTCCCTCTTATGGTTTTCCTATAATTTTACTCGCAGATTAAGCGTATTCCTCAACTTTAATAAAAAATTTCATTATATAAATAAACATACCAATTGAGATTTGTAATTCGTCAACAAATAACTATTTTGCCGAATCACGTTTATTTGATTTTGAATTACAACAGCCATAGAGCTCCTTTCTTTTGTTAATGAAACATTTTCCATCGTCACAGCATTTAGGCGTTGTTGAAATTTAGTAAGCTATAAAGCATGAAAAAAAAAAAAAATTTTTTTTTTATTAGGACATTACAAGCGTGAAGGGCTAATTATTACATCCAATTACCGATTGTTTCAGCGTGTAAACCCTCTGGTCCTGTGAACAGATCTCAAAGGCTTTTTTATGGTTTGTGTCATCTCTCTTTTCAAGCTGGTTAAACATTATTTCGATCTCCTGTGACTGTGACTTCTCGTTCTAATAAAATTCGACATACATATTAAATAATAATTTACCAAATGCCAATCGAACAATCATAACATATGATAGTCACACATTCTTGAGAATTTCATTCATGTCTTCAAGATCTTTAATTCGACTAAGCAACTCGGCAGGATTTTGCAACAGCTGTTGATCCTCCGCGGGCGAATCCTGAGAACTGATTAACCGAAAGAATGCTTAGATTAACATGCACGGAGAAAAATCAATTAACGACGAATCAATGGTCTTCTCACATCTTTTGCTCGAATTTATTCAATTTTCCATTGTAAGATAGCGCGTCAATTATGTACTTGGCCAAATCAGTCGCTTGAGATTCCCTATATGTCAATTCATTCGGCAACAGCTGAACGTTGCGGATTTGTTCGATAGCACTTTTGTTGCCATCAAATGCCGCGATCTTTATATTAAGCTTACGTATCTCCTCCTTCAGGATATTGATAAACTCCATGCGATCGCTTGCAAGCATACTAATGCCCAAGAAAAAAAATTATATACACACACATATATATACATATAAGAAAACCAGACGTTATGAAAGAAAGATAAATATATATACTGTATATACATTAAAGGCTTACCGAATTGCCGAGATTTGACGAAAGTCTTGTGGTATCATGGAACGCAATGTTTCCACATCCTTAACCAACTCATTTCTCTTGGCACGAATGCGATCTAGTTCATTAAGGTATTCTTGTTTTATCTCTTGAAACTCCTGATCCATACGTTTCATTTCCGACTAACGCAAAAATTTTCGGGTTAGAAAACATTTCTTCGATCGATCGAAGGAGGTTATGTATTGCGCACCTTCAACATGTCGTCAGCTTTGTCCCGGGAGGAAGTAAGACTCTGTACCTCTCTTGTTTTCTCCTCAAACAAAGAAAGCACGTGATCATAGGCTTGACGAAGTTGATTAAGCTCCAACTCAAGTGACTTAAATTTCTCAGACTCTTTAATGCGCTCCTCCGGAATATACTTGAGCTATTTATCATATAGAATAGAATTGTGCAGTCAACTTTTTACAAGTTTCTTTATGGTGATTAAAAAAAAAAAAAAAAAAAAGAAAAACCTTTTCTTGAAGCTCATATATCCTCCTCCTTAATTCGACTTTCTCAGCTTGAGAATCATTGCACTCTCTTAATCGGGCTTCGGCGAGCGTTCTCAAGTCTGACAACTCCATTCTTTCGACAATAGGTCGACTTGACGAATTGCTCTGTTTTAATAAGAACATTTTACCATTTCACCATAATATGGAGTGAAAGAATCTCTAAAGGGACGGCTCCTACCGAATGATCGTTTGATTCGGACTTTTTATCATTGAGTAAATAAGGATTTAAGGTAAAACTATTGGATCTATCGATATCTTTCTCCAGCTGAACCAGTTTGTCCAGAGCGGTTTCAAGTTGTTGAGAAGTTGATTCAAGGCTTGCTTTGGTGGCTTCCAATTCTCGTGTGATGGCATTAACCTTTTCGGAATTGGAACAATGGATCAGCGTCGATGTCAATCGAGACCGATATTCGACAATAATAAATACCTCGATCAATGTTTTATCCTGAAAATCGACCGTTTCCATAGCATTTTGATAGATTTTGCTTAGGTACCGAGTTTTATGCGTAAAAAAGTCCACAATTTGCGAATTCTCATTTTTATCCGATCGCAAAGTTTTAATGAAAGCATCTTGCTCACGCAACCAAAGAAAGATCCTCTCAATTAATGCCTGAATGGCGTTCTTTTCTTTTTCAAGAGTTTTGTCATCTCGGGTAACGGTCGATATTTGTTGTAAGTACGAGAAACTAAAATTGTCTGAATTGATATAACGAAATCAAACATTAATATGTAAATGTCGATCTATTATTACTAAAAGAATTTATCGAGACATTTGAGTAGATTAAAAAATATCCTCGGTAGAATTAAGAGAGATTATATATATGATACAGGTACAGATGCATAGAAAATAACCTACTATCACCGGAATCGAATTTCGTTTGAAAGCTTGTATCGTCATCAAAATGGCCTAATTGTCTTTGCAAATAATCGAAAAGCTTGATCGGGAAACGAAAGCCGTTAGAAATGATTCCATCGATTTCAATAACCATAAAAAATAAGTATGACTAACATTTTCAATCTTCTCCAGCCGATTCTTGTATTCCACCTCCTTTTCTAATAGTTCTTGGTTAAATTCTAATGCACGCTCTGCTTGTCGTTGATAATCTTTCAGAGCACGAAATATTGCTTCCTTTTGATATTTCTGTCGTGCAAAACATACTATATATAGCCCAGCTGAATTGCTAATAATCACTAACAGCGAAGCAACGAACCTCGAGCCATTCGGGATCCGATATGTCTACGTTAGCTATCACATTGTAAATGTTGGAACCACCAGTGTTTGTGTCTTGATCGTTCCGTCCACCCTCACTTGAATTTGTCGTTTGATTATTATGTGGCTTTTTTGAAGCCGAGCCATGGCTCATAAAAGCATCGGAATGGTTTCTTTTTTTCTCTGACATTAAAATTTATTTGACAAACAATTTTTCAAATCCGTCATAAACAGTGAGCGGTTTATATAGTAGCGATGCACTCACCTGACCAAAGTTTATGAGCGTCGACGATCGACAGATATATTTAGTAACACGATATGCCTACTTTAAATCCACATACTTGCTATTCCCAAAACCTCTGATTTTTGTTTATTTATTACTCAAAGCATTCCAGTTTATAGATTCAATCGGGAAAGGAATTGTAACGATGGAATTTCAAAAAGCATTTATGACTCTAGTAGAAAGAAGAAGTGTACAGAAGACTCATGCACATGATGGATCTCATTGTTGGAAATTTTCAACGAAGATTCCTGAAAGTATTCATTATAACACCAAAAGATGACCGACACCTGAGCTACGAATTTTCATGATAAATCTGGGCAGACGACTCAATCGTTCTCCGAAGAGATTTTTTTCCGTTTCTTTACGACTATCATAGTGACATATATGAATTCCACGTGACATGATATATGACCCTTTAACTACCTGGAACTGAAGTGGCTGAATTAGCGCCACTAGTGTTACTATTATTACCAAACCCTGAAGCTGTTGAAGAGGGGGTGGGGGTGATGGTGTCGGAAGGCTAATATATATATATATATATTTTTTAATGATAATATAATTGTTATCGCGAATCCACAAACAGGAATGAGCGGGATCATAAACGCGTATTCACACACCTTTATTGACGCACTTTCCCTTCGAAGTTCTTTTATCACGGCCTAAAGAGAAATGCAAGGAAAGGGTAAATTAATTCTAGTAATGTAGTTCCAAACGTTTGATACTTTCGTAAGTGTTTCGAGAAATTAGGTACAAACCAACAATACTCACCGCTAAGGCTTCAGGGTTAACTCCGTTCTCACATAAATTTAAACATAGCGAAAGTGCTTCTCGGTCTAGGCCCGTGTTTAGCAGCGTGGAAATCTCGTAAAGAACTTTACATAAAGGGTTCTTGGTTGTTATTTTTAGGTGGCAGACAAAAAAAAGTAAGAGACAAAAGAGCTGTCAAAGGGAATATTCCCTACTCACTGTCCATGGCCTCCCGCGCTTCTTGAATTTTTTGGTCTTCCATTGTCGATGAAAAAATCATTTAATTTGTTGACCGAATTTTTAGAAGCAACATATTATCACATGAAAGGTGATCCACACGCCATATACAGTATATATATTCCGTATATCGCAAATTCAAATCTTCACCATAGGACACAAAAAATGGTCTATCAACCGCGACTATCTCCATTAGCTACTACTAGCTTTGATGTGTCGTCACCTTCCCTTCGTAATGGAGGGAACAGTAACAATCAGGATTGGTTACGCAGAAGACAGGTGGGGAGTTATCAAGACGAGTCTTCATCGTTTGTTGATACTTTACAATCTCCACTTCAAGCGCGTCAAACTGTCATCCCACGTTCTCAGTCAACGCGTATAACACCACTTCCTCCAGAACAAACTCAAACTAGTGTTGCCTCGCCCCCGGCAGAAAATTTTTCAACCCGCACAAGTACAACCTTCCAGCCGCAAAGACAAAACTCTTTCATCATTCAAACACCCGGACAATCAATAAAACGGGAAAATGAGAGCATTTTGACAGCTTCAACCATAAGATCTACCAACGTTCCGTCATCGCAAGGAACGACACAACCATTCACACCGCAACAGAATTCAAATACATTTCAACAGTCGCAACTTTTAGGCTTTTCAACAACACAATCTCCCCTATCGCAAAGTTCCCAAACATTTAATAATAGTTCAACCAGAACGACAAACCAGAACTCATCACCTTATATTTTAAGTGATCCTGGTAAAACTGTATATTCTACGGGATTGTCGGGACGGTCAATAGGGCAAACAGAATCAACTACAAGGCCGAAGCAAGCTGAATCGGCACTGGTACAAACTACCCCATATCCGAAACCGAAACAGCAACCAGCATTTACCAATCTTCCCAAAAATCCTCCGATTCCATCTCTGGTTCGTGAGCTTATGATCCAACAGGAGCTACCGCGAAATAAATACCAGGATCTCGTGAACAACAATGTAAAATTGCTGTTATATTATCTATGTGCCCTGGGCTTCATACTTTTCTTGCCATCTTTGAAATTTTATCGGTATGTATTAAGCAGACATGATGAAACATGCAATGGTTACTTATAAATTTATTTTTTTTTGTTTTGTTTTGTTTTCTTATAGTGAAATCGTTGAGACAACACTCAAGCAACGTTTCTACATGAGTCTAGCGCCAAAATTGACATACGGAGTAGGCAAGTCGAAATTAAAAATTTTACTCATATGCTAATCACATATCCCATTTCTGATAAATTGTTAATATTTTCATTTAAACAGAGACTTTACTTTTCTTATATTTTTCATATAACTTATGCAAATTGGCATACATAAATTATCTTTGGAAATTAGATGATACTAGGATAAAAGCTATAAGGGAGAAAATAGGTTTCTACTGTTCATCATTACCATCAATCGAAATTTTTGCAGTATCTCATATTAAGAATGAATAAATAAATTTATTATTTACTTATTTACTAGAAAAAGAATTGATAGAAAGTACGGACGTCCCAACAACTAATGGGTTATCAAGCACCCCTGTTAATTCTATTTCAACAACGTTTATAACACCAAGAGATACTACTCGGCCTCTTCAAACTATTAACAATCCCGATAATGTTGCCACAGTTACTACTACCAATGTTAATTCAACTGGTCCGAATGCTGCCACTACTACTACATCATCTAATCATACTACCACCACCACCACTACATCGTTTAATCAAAATTATACTTCTCCTGGTCAAGTCTCAAATACCACGACATCAACCACATCAAATGCTTCGTTTGTCCCTAATGCTTGGTTCTCGGACGGGACCCCCGTTCCTGTTCAAGTTCCGGTTTCCAGGTATCGGATAGCGCCGTACGTGACTCCAACAAAATTTAGTGAGCGGTTGGTTAACGTCAAAGGCGTCCCAGCACTGTTACCCCCAGACCCAGATCCTGATGAAGGAATTGAATACTGAATTCAGCTGCTAGGGACATCAAAACATTGAATTTCTGTATAAACTTCTATTACCCATTTTCATCTCTGTAAATTAGTTATGTTAAACATATGAACTTTTATTCAGAATACCCTGGGAAGAAAGTCAATTGAATGTATTGTTGTTCAGGAAATGCTGCGCCATATATTTATCAATCTCATATGAGGAACTAAATAATAAATGTCACCAAGATGAGCAATATCAATTTTGATTGTTTCAATAATAATTTTACTACATAGGATTCTGATATAATGTATATGCTGTATATGATGTATAATAAAATATTCGAAATTACATAAATTACATATAAATCTTAATTTTTTTTTAAAAAAAAAATCTTGATTCAAAATAGTTAATTTATTTTATTTGATCGCTTTTTTTTTTTATCTTACACCAAAGTTTACTAAAAAAAACTTTTAAATGGGTGAGCTCAAAAGTTTTTTTTTTTTTTTGTAAAAAAACAAAATCATAATAATAATGTCCACTATATTTGTGAAAAATCTTATAATAATTAAAAAATTTTTCATTCTTAAAATAATAATCTATCTTTTCCATCTATAAAAATATTATAAAAATGACATACAGTATATCACTTCAATTATCTGAGTTTGAAATTCAAACTTGATTCCATTAGAATCATTTGAAAACAAAAAAATTTTTAGAAAATTTTGCTGTTTTTGTTTATCCCGACAGCTAAGAGGAGTAGGACAAAGGAAAATAATGGCATCCGGTGTATGAATAAAAAAAAAAAAAAATTCGAACTTTTCTGCGTGCGTGACTGTAAATAATGATTGTACTTTTATTCCGTATTAAATTACTAATTAAATTATTAATAAGTTTCAAACAAGGTTTTAAAGCGGTATCATGTAACATTCGAGAATATATGTCTCAATGTAAATGAAGTAAAACCCAATGTTTCTCACAATCAATCCTTTGAAAAACTGCCAAGATCCAAGTTTAGTTTCTAACATCATCTTTATCTTAAAAATTTATTTTTCCGACGCGGGTACGGATCATCTTATTTATAGATCCCTTTTTAATCAATCGAATCTCCCATCACAATTTCCAAGTTTGATTTCGATAAGGGCTTTCTTCGCATGCCCAAGATTTTTGAACAGCAATGTTGCTAACATAAAATGTCCCATTAATTCGTTTGTTTCCAGATTATAAAATCACCAACCTCCTAGTCCTCGAAAGTAATAACTTATTCGTGTATTTGCGTTCATACTTCCAAGGATAAGCAGGTAAGATTTATTTATTTTATATATAATTTGTGCTGCCGAATATTTATTTTACTTTGGGTGTTCGATCAATCGTAATCAATAGTATATCATACATGTGGTGACTAAAAATCGATAAAATTTTTAATCAGAAAATGAAGTAGATATTGCATCAATATTATAACAGGTATACATACTGGACCCCCATCTTCTAAGTCATCTAATTTTCTTAATTCTTCTCTCATGTTATCGTAAGGAAAAGTTTTTGGCAGCTACATTTTGCATAAACCACTTCAATAAATGTAAATTTAAATATCACAACTTAATTAATTACTCACGGCAGGCCTTTCTGGCATATTCTTCGCAATAATATATGATAGAACGCCAATTCCAGAGAAAAATATGAAGAGTTGCCTTAAAGACGTAGAAGCATCGTAATCATAAACATCGAAGCCCCACACACTTAATGCCTCCTCTTCTTCATGAAGCTATCATTGTTTTTTTGTTTTTTTTTTTTTGTAAATAAGAAAAATTTGCTTGCATAAACAAGTAATTTCCTTTAAGCGTGAGAGAAACTCACCGTCTCACCATAATTTCTCCTATTTTGTAGATCCCACCAACCTAATGCAGGTCTATCTAACTTTGATTCAACGGGTAAATTTGGGTAATCACCAATTTGAGGGTCTTCAACAAAATACTTTGGCGGTTTAGGCTTATAATGCGCTACTTGTTGTCTTGAGAAAGCAGGGCGGATATGGAAAGTAATGGGCAAATTACGTGAAACGATATTAGTAGTGCGGCGAAATGTTGTAAGAATCATTCTGAAAAGCTTCTCGAAATGGCACGAAGCGTTTATCAATCTTACTGGTTAAATAAGATTAGTTACACGAAATTAGATTAGTCACGGGGCATTTCCCTTTAAACCAAATTTTCTATAATTTGTGTTCCGTGATTGATAATACTCTTGTTAAAAAATTTCAGTTATATAATTTTTAAAAATTACAACTAATATTAGATATGAGTTCTTTATTGAATAACTAAATTTATAACACACAAAAGTTTGTATTGTTTTTTTCTATTAATTAAAAATTTTTCTTTTTTTTTGATAATTTTTTGAGAAAAGGAAAAGTTAATCAGAAAACCAAGAGAAACTACTTTTATTGTGATCAAATTTATATTTGATCAGTGTGTTCACATTAGTCGAAAAAAAATTATTCGGCATACTGCCACTCGTGTAACATTTGGCAAAAATACTACCACTCGTGTAACATTTGGCAAAAATACTACCACTCGTGTAACATTCAGCAAAAAATAAACAATTCGGCAAAAAAAATGCCATAAATAAATCGACAACTACAAAAATTGTTAGTCAAAACTATTTATTAAAAATTCATCAAAAATTCATCAAAAATTCATCAACTATTTATCCACTATTCGTCAACTATTCGTCAACTATATTTGCAACTATTCGTCAAAAATTCGTTGACCATTCGTCAACTATTTGTCAACTATTCGTTGACTATTTGTTAACTATTTATAAACCATTCGTCAACTATTTGTTAACCATTCATAAACATTCGTCAAACATTCGTCAACTATTCATCAAAACTATTCATTAAAAATTCATTAATAATTCATTAAATTATTTATTAACTATTCATT